CTGAATCTGGGCAGTCTTCCCCTGTGAACTATAGCATCCTGTCTGTCTGTCACCTGACTTCATTATTCTGATTGGATAATAGTGCCTTGCTGGAGATCTCTTCCCCAGATATAAAAAGGAGTCATAGGATTTGCTAGTGATTGATGGATGGCTAATAGGCCCCTGGTCCTTCATAGAAGAGCATGAATTATCATCCAGGCCATTGATATGAGGCCCTGGTAGTGGGTCCTCTCCTACCTGCAGAGGAATTCCTGCATGTCTTGCTCTTCAGGGTTTCTGAAACAACTGTCCTCTGTGAGCTGAGGTCTTGGGACATGAAGCTAGAGTACAGTGTTCTAGTCTCAAGACACTGAAACTGGAGGATTGAAGTTACCGGCAAGACTGAGTCTGAAAAGTTAGGGAGAGAGGGCTGGGGGTGCAGTCACTACAGCAAAGAGGATGAATAAGGGATCTTGAAGGTAAACTGGAGTGAGGCAACCAAAGACAGGGAGGCAAAAGAAAGTACAAACTCCCCTTGATCTTTTAAGTTGAGGTGAAGCTGCTTTCAGGCCCCTGCAAGAAGAGACCCTCAGGATAACTTATGCAAAAAATATGGCCTTAATTGTCCATCTTCCCACTGGAAGAAATAGAGGGGATGTCACAGGATGGGGAAATGTGGGAGTAAATGCTGTATGTGGTGAGGTGAGCCTCTTAAGTTATTCTTCTCTTATACCATCAGGATTTTTCTACTAAAAAAGTAATCCCTTCTGTTTACAAACGCTCCGGAATATATTGCAGTCACTTCTTTTGCACTAGAGATATGACTTTCAGGGAGTTCTCATTTAGGTATGATTTTGTCATTAGCATCAAGCCATAAATAGCTTAGATAAAGATGTTTCTAAGAGAAGGACCATGAGAATGAAGTTACCCCAAGAAACACAAAGAAACTGTCTTGTCCCCCCATCCCACTCCTGCTTCCTCAATTGTGTGTATCAGGGAAAGGACACTTGCACAGCTTACACGTGCCATTCTTCCCCTTAATCAGAGTCCCCTGATCTTTAAGAGAGGCTGAGTCCACTGGCAAAAGGATTTACACGACAAAATTGTTTATGGCTTCCTGGCTGCAGTTGCACATTTGCCTCTGAATAGAGAAGCTGCAGGCACAGTAGGCCTGAGGGTGGTTCTGGCTCTACTTTTGGCACATTTAATCCCAATTGTTCGTGAACTATATGTTTACAACATGGTTTAACCCACCCCCTCATTATCCTCCCCCCCCCCAAAACAATCCTTTGCCAGGCTTTGTGATTCCAGAAGAAACGGAGTGCAATGGAGCTAAGCAGTTCAGAATGCCAAGTAAAAAATACTTAGAAGATCCTTTGTACGTTTTGTTGGCTTATGGAAAAAGAAGGGCGGTGGAGGAAGAAAAGGACACTGAACCGTGAATGAGAAGTCTGGCTTTCTGCTTTTGCCACAGTTTGACACAGGGCACTCAGCCTGTCAGCTTCAGTGTCTTTATCTGTAATCTGGTTGAGTTTGTAAGCTGCTGAGTTTGGTTGAACTGACAAGTGAGTCTTCAATGGTGAGGTTGATGGCGGGATCCCAGCCTGACCCCTGGAGACATGTTTTGCCTCCCTCTGTAGCCTGTGGCTGCATTCATAGTCAGAGCCCAGTGAAGACCCACTGCTTAGCTGTCTATAACCTCAGAATCTCATGCCAGTCATGGGTGGTACTCAGGCCAGCGTGGTGCCTCTTCATGATCCATCCCTTCATAGTTGGGCCAAGGACAACAGAAAGTGATTCTGGAAATGGGATCTGCCCCCCTTGAAGCTCCCAAGCCTTTGGATTCTCAATTTAGAGGGAAAAGGTAACAGAAGGACTCAGGGGTGGCGCAGGAGTTTTCAACTTAGAAACAAGGACAGAGGTCTTCTCGTGTGGACAGGATTAACCCAAGAGTAGTTAGGGATAGATTGCACATCAGAGGAAAGCAGGGACTCACAGGTCTTTGCAAACCCTTTTCCTAGAGGTAGGCCTGTTAGTGCCTACTCACCTAGTCAGGAGAACGTGCGGGCTGTATAGGCTGAGTGCCTCCAAGCCCAATTCAGTCTTGTAGGTCCTACTGCAAGCCTCCACAGGGGGACCCAAGAGACTGTTGCTTCTTCACTCTTCATTGCCTTTTGCCTTTTTCCTTATAGATTAGAGTTGCATGAGTCAGACCCTCAACAAACAGTCCTGAGCACTCTAGCAAAATTCAGGTAAAGAGTTTTACTTGAGACTGCTGTTACATGTAAAGCATTGGAGATCTTGAAAACTGTTATAGACATGCCTCCTCTAGGTTTGGGTCTTGGGTCTTTGTGATGTCTTTCAGAGACTATTTTGAGCTTAGCTTGATAAAAATAGTGGCTGTGCCATTGAGAAGGACCCCAGAGTTGAGGAGGGAATATGCCCTGAAGTCATAATTTAATTTAGGCATTTATTGACTTAAATTTTTTAATATATATTCTAATGTTTGTTTTGAGAGAGGCAGAATGCAAGCAGGGGAGGGTCAGAGAGAGAAGGAGACAATCCCAAGCAGGACCTGCACTCACAGTGCAGGGCCCAGTGCAGGATTCGAACTCACAAACCATAAAATCATGACCTGAGCCAATATCAGTTTGGAGGCTTAACTGACTGAGCCACTCAGGCACCCCAGACTTCAGTTTTATGAATACATATACATGTCACACACACATATACTTTGGGATCTTAGACACACTCAGATGTCATACACATTTAGGTGTCCACACACATTCATCTGATGTTGCACTCACTCATTCAAAGAGTATATGTGTTTGCTTAGTTTTTAGACACCCAGGTCCTACAGATGCTCATTTGGACATTGTGGATACTCAGATATAGTCTGCCCTACCAGAGAGGTTGGCCACATTCACTCATATGGCACTCACATGCACTCTGGGTTGTTGAGTTCTCATTCAGGTGTGCCCATCAGAGAGTACCCATGCTCATTGAGCTATTATTGCTCACCTCCACTCAAGGTATCACTCTCTTCCAAGTATGGCAAACATTCATATGTGTATTTCTTTCCCATCTGCATTTCTGACCATCCCCATGCTCAAGGAGATTCAGGGGAAGACTTGCCATATTGTGTCATGTTTCCTTGGGTTAGTCCCTCTATACCCTTTTATTTTAATGAAGTAGTCCCGTGCCTCTATCTTTACCCAAATTAGGCTTAACCAAATGTCCTTAGATGGACTGCTTGATTGAAATATGATAGCTCTTGCCACATTTTCATAAACCATGTGCTACCTCACTATGCCATCTTTAGAAGATTGGTTTGGGGCCACTGCTGAAATCACCTTATTAATTCACAAAAATTTCCTGGGGGCACTCTTTAGGCAATTGGTGTTTTGTCTTAGATCATGAGTCCTAGAAATCTCTGCAATAAAGATCTTCTAAAAGAAGAGCATTTAGAAATACAAAATGTGGGCATTCAAACAGATAGTAAAATGCCATCCATATTCACAACCTTTAGGATAACTTTTATAAAAGGAGCCTACACATCTGGCCCACAGCTGGTGTTCAATAAAAGCTTGATCATTTCTGTTCACACACTGGTGCCTTCTTACTTCCAAGTTGAAGGGAATGGTACACAATCACTAGACAGGATCTCAGAGTATTCACTGTTTATCTTGATTAGGGATTCTGTATCCAGTCATATTTAGTTTCATGCTTACTTTCAGTTTTAACTCAATTTAATTTGGATTACTTGAACAAGCATTCACTGATGACTTTATGGGTATCAGGTAACCTACTGGGCAATGTGGGATTGGGGTAAGTGATACGGAAATAACTAAGCTGCAATTCCCAGTGTCCAAAAAGTTAACAGTCTAACCAAAGAAACAGTAGTCCTGTGCTCATAGTCTTGCAATCCCAAGAAGATATCCATTAGTGAGTTGTAGGGGAGCTAAGGTTGGGGGAAATTCATTCACAGTGGGGGGGGGGGGGCGTCTAGACAGGCTTCACTGAGGAGATGAAAGATAGACTCAGCCTTTAGGGAAAGGCTTCCCAGGCAGAAGTAGATAGAAGGCATTTCATGTGGAGGAAGCATGAACTGACAGTGGCCTGGAGTAGAATCCCAAGGATGTTTATGCAATGGCAGGGGGTATGAATATATTAGAATGAGGGGTTCAAACTAAGAATTTCCAAAGTACAGACTGGAAGCCAGGCACAAGTGTCCTCAATGCCAGGATGAAAAGTTTAGATTATATCATTAGGATAACAGGTTATGAAAGAGCTTGAAGAGAAACACTGTCAATATGTTTAGGAAGATCAGTGAGTTAACTAGTTAGTTGATCAGGTAAGTTAGAGGTAAAGACAACAGTTTAATCCAGGAAAGAGGTAGAGAAGTGCCCAACCTCAGCATTATCAATGAAGAAGGAAAAAGAGGAAGGGCAGATACAGAGTGCTGATTTCAACAGGGCTTTCTTTTTTAATGTTTTTTTTGTAAATTTATTTCTGAGAGAGAGAGAGAGGGAGATACATAATCCGAAACAGGCTCCAGGCTCTGAGCTGGCAGTCAGCACAGAGCCTGATGCAGGGCTCAAACCCATGAACCATGAGATCATGACCTGAGCCGAAGTTGGACATTTAACCAACTGAGCCACCCGGGCACCCCATCAACAGGGCTTTCTGATTATAGGGGCATAGTGAGATCTAAGGAGGTAAGAATTGAAGTGAGTCCCAGATCCAATATCTGGTGTCTTGATGGGCAATACTACCCTTCACTAAGGAAAGAAAGGTAGAAGGAAGAAGAGGCAGGTTTGTAGGGGTTGGGACCAAGTTACATTTTGGATATATCCAGTGTGATCTGGCTTTGGGACATGTAAATGGAGATTGATTTCTACACAGCAGTGAGTTTATGATTCTAAAGCTTAGGAGGGAGGTTCAGTTGTAGACAGAAGTGGAAATAAATAACAAGTTCATTCCTCCAGATCATTGCTCATCTGCTTCTCTTTTCTGTCCAGTGTTTATCAGCTGGTTGTCAAGGAGGAGCGACTTCAGAAATCACGGAGGGCAGCTGATATCATTGAATGCTTTTCGGTGCCTGTGAGCTATAGGAATGCCTCCAGCCTTGATTCTCTACACTACTTTGCTGCTGAATTGAAGCCTGCCAACCTGCCTGTCACCCAGCCATTTACAGTGGGTGACAACAAGACATACAATGGATACTGGAACCCTCCTCTTTCCCCTCTGAAGAGCTACAGCATCTACTTCCAGGCACTCAGCAAAGCAAATGGAGTAAGTATGGCCACATGGAGGCCATTTCTTGCCTTGTTTGTATTTTCCCATTCTCAAATGAAAAGTAGCATGGCTTTAGAGCAGAGGTTGACAAACTAAGGCCTGTGGACCAAATCCAGCCCCATGACTGATAAATACACACACACACACTTTTTTTTTCTAATACAGCAGTGCCTTTTCATTTACTTGGTCTAAGGCTACTTTTGATGCTACTCCAGTGCAGTTGAGTAGTTTAGACTTTATTCCACATAAAACCTAAAATATTTACTATATGACCCTTTACAGAAAAAAATTTGCAGACCTCAATATTAATAGATAAAAAAGGTCTTTCAGATCACCTTTGGGCACATTGCATGCCCATCTGAGGATTAATTTCCTCATCCACAAAATAATACCTATAGATTTGTTATCTGAATGCACTAAGCATGTTATAGTTAATCAGTGAATACTAACTCTTTTATTATTACCAGTAGTTACATTGTAAAATATTCTCCTCTCCCAAAGACAAGGTAAACTTTTTTAGTATCAGATATTTCTTTGGTCCAGATAGGACACCAGTCATAACATCGCAAAATCACGGGGCTGAAAAAGATCTGAAAGGTTACCAAATACCTACCTCCCTCCCCCTACACATAAAGCAATCAACATTACAACATCACAGTTAATTGGCATTAGTGCTTACTCTTGAATATTTCTAATGACCAAGAACTCACTTCTTTATGTGGTAACTTTACTGGTCTTTGGAGTGTCTGTGGCTCTAAGAAAGTCTTTTATTATACTGCCTAAAATATGTCTCCTATTATAGGTTCTACCCAATGCTCTTGGTCTATACCCTTAGGTCCCAAGAGAATCAGTGCAATCACCTTCTCAGGTGGTATTCTTTCAGTTACAATAAGATCTTTCCTACCATCCACTTCCCTGTTCAAATATACCCATCTGGTCTTGTCTAAATATCTTTAGTTCTTCTTATGACACAAGTATTTCCCATTTTGCTTTTGTGGACATATCTCAGACTTTTATATTTCACAAAAACTGAAATATTTTATATTTCAACAAACACTGACATATGCTAGGCCCTATAGTTCATATTAAGGTAATATAGAATGTGCCCCACCCCCACCCCCGGCAAGACCTTTTTTAATATAAGGGAGTCTGGTGTGTGCCATGTTCCATGGTATATCTGGAGAAGTGAGAAGCTCACTGGAGAAGGGAAAGATGAAACAAAAGCAAGATTTGGTGAAGGGTGTGCAGAATAGCCTCTGTAGGCTCTGGTGGCCAAAATAGAGACTTTAGTCTGTCAGGGGCAGTCATTACCTTATGAGAAACCTGGATTGAGGAACTAATTAACATTTTAAATGTCCACATACCCACTTAAATTCCACATTGGTATTTCAGTTCCGCATTTATTACTTGCCCAAGCAACATTCCTGACAGAGAGTCTAAAACTACAAAGAGAAGCTGCCAGACTGCCTTCCATCTGTCCATCTGGTCTTCCCCCTGCATGAAACACTCTGGTGTGTTGAGGAGGAAGACATAAAGATGGGCAGAAAGCATCTGGGGACCCATCTTGTTTCTGTTTCTCTGCATCCCAGACTGGCCAGTTTGTTGGTCAAGCACAGTTGTGAGAAGGTGTGGCTTTCCCTGCTCTTGGTGACATGTCAAGAGGTGCTGTTTGGGTTTCAATGCTGTGAAGAAGAGTAGGAGCTGCACTCAGTTCACTCTGTATCACATTCCTACCATGACCCTAGTAAAAACCTGGCGACAGAGCAAGTCTGTAGGACCCAAGAAACTGACAAATGGACCACAGGACGAATTTCCCCAACCCGAGTGTGGTTGGCCTTGAGTGGAACAAGCAGGTGAGGCCAGAGGACCGTGAGAGGCTTGGCTTCCCAAACTTCACACCATACACTACTTCCTCAAGAGAAGGCATTGGGAAAGAAGTCACCCTGCTCTGAAGCTACCTCATTCAGGAAGGAGTTTCTACTATTGCTTCCGGGTGAACAAGGCCATTTAATTACTTACACCTTCCATCCCACACCATGTGTGCTCCCATTTTGGAACTAAGATTTGCAGGACAGGAATTGGATGGGTGCTTATGCCAGGTGTCTTGAGGGAAACAGGAACAGAGAGGAACAGGAGGAAACAGAGAGAAAAAAGAACAGAGAGGAAAGAAAAGCTGTGGGAGCTGGGCACTCAGCGTGTCATTTTTCTGGCAAGGGAAAAACTACATGCTATTTGAAATTACTGTATTTAGTATTAAGTTCTACTGAAAAGACTTAAGTTAAAGGGTCATAGGAGCAGAAAAGCCATTCTCAGTCTAACAAATCTCTGCCTGGCCCCTCTCAGATTCCTCCATCTCGTAAAGGGCAGCAGACAATGCAGTTAAGCCTGGAGGATTTTTGAGGAGAAAATGTTATAACCCACAAATTCCTTATCAGCCCAGTTGTTGTTCTTGTGCAGATACATCAGAAAGACATTCTTAGTATCCAGGGGCTCCCGCATGCCCTGCCTCTAATAAATCATTCAAAGAGCAATTGACCAAGCAATAAATCAAAATAAAGAAATCAAAACAGAGAAGTGTAGACTGAAAAGACCAACAGTGAGCATGGAAACTAATTAAACATAGTGTTAATGCTAAAGACTTGCTATAAATATGCTACAAAAGAGAAGGTTAATATAAAAAAATAATTACTTAAAGAGAAGATATATAATGTAAGAAATTAACAATTGTAATGTAGGCCGGTAAATTTGCTGTTATATCAACAGAAACTGAGAAGGAGTTGGAGGATTGATGAGTATAAATAAAAATCTGCCAATTTCCCCAATTTAGGCAAGATGGAACAAATAGCAACTACTTTATTTTTGATACTGAGAATTGTTGAAAACTATAGTTTTTTAAACATAAAGGCACATTTCCAATCTATCTTTTAGAAAGAACAGGAAACAACAATCTACAAAGAAAATGGGAGACGCAAAGGAAACTATAAGTAAATACAAAAATCAGCAACTGTAAAGCAAGCCAGAAGACAATAAGTGGTGCTTTGTTCCCTTCATTAAAAAGGAAAAAATATCTTAGGTAAAGATATTTCTATATTACTAGAAGATAAAAACCAAACAAAGGATGAGGCCAAGTCACATTAAATTAAAACAAATTAAAGGAAAGCAAAAAATGGCCATTTGTTGCATTATAGTTGTTGGCCAGATTGAACAATTTACTGTCAACTAGTTTTATTGCTCCCAGCACTACCTGCAAGTTTCATCAGAATGGGGTAAGAAAATTTTAGGGTCCAGGTATATTTTTCTATGGATATTAAAGATAGTGTTTTCTTTTTCAGTTCATCAGACTGGCTAAATATCCAGCCTTTGCGATGAGACTACAGACTGCCTACACACAAAACCCTAGTAACTCTGATTTTAAATAAGCTATTAAAAATAGTTATATATGATTTAGCAATTAAGCAAGCCTCTAGCAAGCACATACTATCATTAAAAAGGCACTTTTTCACTCATTAAATGTTGACATAAGATCTGTGTTGAATATTAATGGGATGAGGATAAGGACATTCTGTAAACTCTATAGTAATCTATTTAAATGTAGGAGTATTTTAATCCACCCCTGTAAACACAGTGGAGAGCCCAAGTATGATGTACATCATGAGGCATAGTGCTCAGAGTCCTTGCAGGCATTTTCATGAAGTGTGGGTTGTTGACAGGCACTTTTACTGGGAATTTTGACCAGATTACATTTAACTACTGATGGCTTTCTTAATGAGAACAAGGGCAGAGCTGGCTGTTAGAGCACTGTCCTTGGTGCTGAATCCTCGGAGCTGGTCTTTTCTTGTGAATCAAGCCATATTGTAACCATTTATTTTGGATACAGCTATATTATAGATCTGTTATATCATTTTACAATTGGATGGTTTTGCAGTGTCATCTAATTCAGACCAGCATCCAAAGAAATCGCCAATAAAGCGTTCTTGCCAGGGCATTATAGAACCTCAGCTTGACCACTGAAATTCTCTGGAGGTAAAGAGTTGATTCCTTTGAGGAGCAGGTAAAACTATTAGAGCTTTCTTCCATCTATAAAGTCAGATTTGGTCTCCTTAACTCTCTACTCTTGGGCACTTGTATTGATGTGAACAAATCAAATCTTTCTTTCCCATGTCAGCCTCTTGGAGAAAATACGACAGTACCAACTACCATCTTTGGTTACTCAGGCTATATCATATTGATGTTTAACATGCAATTACTTATGTTTCTCACTTAGAATGATTTTCTCTATCTTCTTAGTCCTATGTATTCTGTACTTTAATAGACAGTCTCCTTTTTTCCAATGCCCTCCTTAAAAAGGGCTCCCAGAACTTGGCATTGTGCTTCAGATATAGTTTGACTATGCCTGCTACATTTTCACTACCCCTCCTCTCCTTACCATTTTCTAAAACATTATTTCCCTGACATTCTAAGAGATTTTTCTCACTTTTGGGGCCTTATGCAAGCTGTAATTCTACCTGGCTATCTCTTCTCTACATTCTTTGTCTGCAAAGAACTTTCTCTTTTTTCAGGCCTCATCTTCCATGTCACATACTCTGAGAACTTTGCATTTATGTTTTCTAAGAGCTGTCCATGCCAGTACTCACTTATATGTTAAATTGTTCTTTTTCTTTATAAAGCTGAGCACATTTTTAATTGCACTTATTTCTATGTAGTCCTTGCCTCCATCCTTAGACTGAGAGCTACAGGAGGTAGCATCTCTGTTTTTTTTTGCCTCTGTATTCTCCATACTGAATACAATATTTAACACATAGTATATACTTGATGATTGTTGTGTGATACTGAATACAATATTTAACACATAGTATATACTTTATGATTGTTGTGTGAATGAATGAATGAGAGTACAAATGGTTTCAAACTGTTTATTGTTGTCTATGAGTGTTTTCTTGCTTATGAAATAGAAATGGTAATATAAAACTCACGCAGTCATTTTGAGGATTAAATGA